TCTAATATATTAAAAGGATAAAACTGTAACCCCACAAAATCTGACAAGTGATAATGAGACATGGAGAAACTGAATGGGTTAAAAAGCATAAAAATAATGCTCACTGAGGCTTCAAATGAAGAAAGTAAAATAGTATTTCCCTTACATATTAAACTTGTTGCTGGGGATGCTAATCATAGAGACCCTCTGCCTACAACTCTCTGGGTTTGCATCTATTTGTCACTTCAACTAGCAACCCACCAAAGTCAAATACTTAGAAGAATAACTCCAAAAATTAATTAGAGATAATTTCATTTGATTTTAGTGAGTATTCTCCAATCCTTCCAGTACACTTCAATACATCAAGAAATCAAATATTCAGCAAATGTTCTATATTCCTCAGATCTACCAAGACTAAATGACAGGTATGCAGAGTTCTACACCTAGTGCCTCTACCCACTAATATGCAACTTTGATCACGTCACATCCTTTCTTTAGGTCCTAGTTTATCTATAAAAGACAGACTAGGGTTCTAATCACTTATAAGCTCCTATACCCTGTGATTCTGTTTGACAAAGGATAACTACACTTTCCATCTGAAACCCATTTTAACCCCAATGTTAGAAACAGCACTGACTAGTCCACACACAATTTTTAATGTTACTATATTTTAATAATACTGTTTTAACTTTTGATACCATGAGACATTTGTGAAAACTAGAATTCACAAAAAATGTAAATACCACTAATGTGTTGCTTTAGGAAGATACATGTACACATACCCAAATGAAGGGTAAAAACCCTACCTCTGAAAAAAAGCAGAAATAAAGAAGGAAGCAATATATCAGTATGTAGAAAACATCCTTTGGATATAACATAAAGACTGCCAGTCGCCATAAAGTCATCAAAGATCTGTATCAATGCTACCTCCTGACAACACAAAATTTTTAAGAATTTGTAAATACAGCAAACATGTTTAAAAAACATTTTAATCCCACCATTCTCTGTTTTAACTTCAAGAATTAATTTCTGTGGAAAAAAACGGATAGCCCAGCTGTTATAAAATAATACTATTCAAAGGAAGCATTATATGGGAATTTCCATGTCATTGTAGCACTGGCTCAAAAAGCTATACAATGGTGTTGTTCTTGACTACTATTCACCAAATAGCAGTTTAATTTGAAAGATCCCAAAGACCCCAGGAAGCGCGAAAATCCATACATACAGGTAGTACCCACAAAATGCTAAAATTTATCTAAAATGGTTAAATGTTTTCATTTCTGTGGATAGCTTTTTTTTTTTTTGGTGCCAGGGAATTAACTCGGGGCACTAGACCACTGAGCCACATTCCCAGCCCCCTATTTTGTATTTTACTTAGAGACAGGGTCTCATGAGTTGCTTAATGCCTCGCCATTGCTGAGGCTGGATTTGAACTCACAACCCTCCTGTCTCAACCTCCAAAGCCCTGGGATCACAGGCGTGCACCATCGCACACAGCCTGTGTATAGCTTTCTAAGTGGTATTACATTACAGAGGAACTGAGGAATAGATTTTTCAGAATTAAAATATGAAACTTCTGACACTGAAGTAAATTAAAATATAAAACTTTTGACACAGAGCTTTCTGCTCTGCTCTATAGATCCTTACCATTCCCAAAACAAACTCTTGTCAGAAAAATATACAACCTTTTTACTGATTAGGAAGTTTTAAGATTTTAGCCCGTGAATATACCACTTGAGGATAGCCTGTAAAATTTTCCTCACCAGTTCCTAAATTCACAAAAATCTCTTAATAGCTCGAATACATTTTGATCAACAAAATACTTAGAAATCTCAGATGCAAATTAAATGAAATAAAATTTCTCGGTGATCACTCAGAATCCAATCATTCTCATAAATGGAAAGACTGTTATAAAATGGTATTTACTGAAAAAGACATCCTGTCCTTGAAGGAATGTACCCTTTGTCTCGGTTACTCCATGAACTTTAATACACTAAGTTCCTTCTGCAGCTGAAAAACAACCAGGGTATATGAAATGGAAGCCTTTTCTATATTCCAAACTGAGGAGCTTATACTCCGCTAATGACTTAATTTCCTATAACCAAACACCACAATGGTAGATATTAGTCATAACTTGAACTTATTTGAGTAAGGGAATATAACCTCAGATAAAGACCATGTTCTTTTAGCCAAGTGCAGTGGTACATGAATGCAGGAGGCTGAGGTAGGAGGATCACAAGTCTGAGGCCAGCTTAGTGAGGTCCTAACAAATTTAAATGAGACCCTATCTCAAAATTAAAAATAAAAAGGATGTTTGGCTTGGTGGCGCACACTTGTAATCCCAGCGGCTCGGGAGGCTGAAGCAGGAGGATCCCGAGTTCAAAGCCAGCCTCAATAATGGTGAGGAGCTGAGACCCTGTCTCTAAATAAAATACAAAAAAGGGCTGGGGAAGTGGCTCAGTGATTGAGTGTCTCTGAGTTCAATTCCAGCATCCCCTCAAAAATAAAAAATAAAATAAATAAAAAGGGCTGGAGATGTAGCACAGTGATAAAACACACTGGGTTCAATTCCCAGTACGAGTACCCAAAATATAATACTACTTTGAACCTATTTTAGTAACAAAACCACAATAATACCATTAGTGGTTTCTTACCCTATCCTTCAAATAGGAATAGAACCTGGATAGAAATGCCACAGGGCTTTGAAAAACATAAAGAAGTCTAGTTTTCACCAGTGGAAATATGGTGATTCAGGTCGTATCAAGGAAAGAAACAAAAAACATTTCACTAACCAAATCATCAAAGGCAACTTCTAAGTCTCATTTTAGGACAGTGGAACTTATAAGATCTGCTGAGTACAGTGGCATACACCTGTAATATCAGCTACTCAGGAGGCAGGACATCGCAAAATCAAGGCCAACTTGGGCAACTTAGTGAGACCTTGTCTCAAAAAAAAAAGCCAGGCACGGTGGCACAGGTTGATAATGCCAGCAGCTCAGGAGGCTGAGGTAGGAGGATCACAGGTTTGAAATCAGCCTCAGCAACTTAGAGACCCTGTCTCAAAATTTTATAAAAGGGGGTCTGGGGTTGTGGCTCAGAGGTAGAACACTCCCCTAGCACAGGTGAGACCCTGGGTTCAATCCTCAGTACCACATAAAAGTAAATAAGTAAAATAACATATTGTGTCCAACTACAACTAAAAAAATAAATATTTTAAAAAGCAGGGGGTAGGGGGCCACTGAGTGTAGTTCAGTGGTAGAGTATTTGCCCAGCATATGGAAGGCCCTGATTTCAATCCCTGGCACTGAAAAAGAAAAGAAAAAGATCCTACAATTCAATGTTGAAATGAGCAGTAAGAGACATGAAGAAATAGGCAAGAAGAGTTCTAGTCAAGGGTCATTTCAATGTAATGTCAGGGCAGTTTCTTACAAGGATGACTGAAGAGCAATGTGATGCTTTCCTAAATGAACACACTGGTATTTAAACACGTGCCTGAATGCTGTTCTTTTCAACAAAGTCCACAGGAAACTGCACACTTACATTTAAAATGTTGCCATTGCACAAAAGTTTATGCATTTTTCTAGAATTGCTTTATTCATTCTTCTGAATGTACAGCAGTGGGATGTGGATTGTGTCCTAACTTCAATTTATGTTTGCTCATGATTGGAAGCAGCTTATATTAAAAACATTTATGCTTATATACATAAAAGAATCATGGCTTCCTTGGACAATGTGACTAAAGGAAACATTTAAATATTTTTGTTTTAAACATGCATGCACATATGTGTGCACACACACACAAAAACACATATACATATATACACCTTATAGGTACAACTCATACTCGGGGAAGAGGGGAGTCAAACTCCATATCTTAAACATCATTTGCCCACTTTTCATCCCCAATGTTTCTGACAACACAGGTAACTTCAATTATGGCTCTGTACTGCTCCTTCATCACTAGACTTGGATGGGCTTAGTGATGGCCCTAGAGATTGACAGAGTGCATAAACTTGACCCCTCATATTATACAGCTGCCCCAACACACAAGAGCAACTTTTCAATCCCATATTCTTACTCCACAGAACCTCTCAAAAGGCGTCACAATGGAAATCAAGTACATGTAAGAGTACCCTTCGGTCTTCTTGATCTTTCACTAAATGACATGTACATACATTAAATAATCTGGCAAAAATGAGGACCCATCAGAGTCTAAGTATTGCTTTTTAGTATACCCTATAAAACATTATCAAACCTCACAATCAGTTACCTGAAGGAAAATTTACCTATTTCTTGATGCTTACTAAGATCATGCTTAATCTGAGAGATAACAAAAGACATGTCATCAAACTGCTAAACCGGACATTAGGACAGTTTTTGTTCCGATTCTCATTTTAGTGATTAGAACTGCAGTCTTCTGTTGCTCCAAATTTTACTTTTACTAGCTGATAATAAACAACGGCTAACTGGCTTCCTAATAAGATTTCCGCCCCCGCACTAATGGCTAACTATCCATTCCACCTGAAACTTTATTACCAAAGAAGAAGAAATAAGTGATAATTCACTGAAGGAGTCTCCTTTTATTTGGACTTCAAAGTTATCTCTGAAGCCACTCTAGTTTTTAACAACTTTTTTTCTGGAATAACTCAGAACCAAAAGTAACAAACACAAAAATCACAGAGCCTTTGGATTGATGGAAATCTCCCATTAAAAGACTTTCTTTCCTTTGAATACCTATTTATTTTGGGACAAATAACCATTTTGGAATTAGTTTTGGGAATCCCTAATTTATACTTCAGAACAAGGATGTTCCTGAGCTAACAGCTCAGATTTGAGATTAGTCTGCATATTTTCTCAAAAGTTCACAGGAAAATGGGATGGGAGGAGGAAAGGAGTGACATCCGACAAAAGATACATAAAATAGTTTGCACTGCTCATTCTAGAAGGTGGCAAGAGCAGCTTATGTCCTTTTGACCTGTGGGAAAAAAAAATATTTGCAATGCCACTCGTAAGACACTCACCTTGAGAATTTTTACAACCACTCTTTCATTGTTGGTGATGTTGATGGCCTCAAATACTTCACTATACTTCCCACGACCAAGTTTCCGAACAAGTTGGTAATCATCTTGATTACTGTGGAAGGCAAGAGACACAAATAAATGCCAGGATTTGGGATTAACTAACCCTATGCCCACTGTACACCCAGTCTAAATGTTTCCACTAATCAAACATTTGGAAGTGTCCAGATATCATGCCACAATTCATTCCCTAAATGAAAGCCACGGCATAAACCTGGCTCCCTTCATTCTGCAGAGCTCCCAACGAGGAGATGGGAGCAGGAAGACAGCACTGAGCCAATCTAAGGTGTCAAGTAAAGCATCCACCTGGAGGCCCAGAGGGTGCCCGCTCTTCCCGTGGCTCCACCAGCACCTGCCTATTCCACATCCTTAAGGCAGACAGTGAATCTGGACGTCTTTAAAAATTTTCCTCCCACCCAGCCTCATTTCAGAAAACTAAAAAGGCAGCGAATTTTAATAGCTCAAGGGGACAGCTGTTGACTTCCCACCCCAATAGAAACCCAAAAGTGTGAGGAGGAGGAGGAACTGCTCCCTCACTCCCAGGGTCTGGTCCCTGGACCCTACACTTCTCCTCGACCCCCCCGCACCCCCACAAAGCAAAAAAAAGCAGCAGCAAATCTCTGGAGACGAGCGGTGTGCAAAGCCGGGATACAGGGGTGGTGAGGTGGGCAGGGAAGAGGAAGAGGACATGTGCGAGAGGGGGGCCTGTGCCTCCCACCCCAGACCCGAGGCGGCGCCGGCCCACCGAGGAGCCGGCGGAGAGGCGGATCCCCCGGGTTCGAGTGCGGTTTGCGCCGGGGGGCGGGGG